GAGGTCAGGTTTTTTATTTTTATTTTTTATTTATTTTAATTTGACCAGAGAGGGACAGAACGAGAGAGTGAGAGGGAAAGTCAGAAAGCAAGCTACTAGGTCTGTGACTCAAACTGTGGTCTACCATGTGGGAGTCAGACACCCTTAACCACCACGCCACCTGCCAGCCCAAGTGTTACTTATTTTCTAAAGAACTATCTTATATTTAACTTTATTTATCCATTTATTTATTTATCTTTAATGTGATCAGGGAAGGATGGAGGGAGGGAGAAAGAGAGAAAGTGAAAAACCAAGCCATCAGATCTGGGACTCGAATCATGGCTGGCCATGTGGGAGTCCAGTGCCCTTAACCACCACACCACTTGCTGGCCCCTATTTTTTATTTTTAATAAATATATTTTAACACAAGAATATGTAACAAATCCAACTTTAGCCATCTTCCTAATAGAGTTACCTAGTATAAGAAAGGTATTACCAATTTATATTCATTGATAAGTCTTATAATTTAGTAATATCGGGGCTAGGAGGTGGTGTGATGGCTAGAGTGCTGAACACCCACATGGCTGACTACAGTTCACATCCTGGACTGGTGGCTTGTTTTCTCCCTTTCCCTTTCTCCCTTTCTCTCTCTCTGATGACTACAGCAAGTTAAATAATAAAAATAAGTAAAATAAATAATTATTTTAAGAAAAGTAATATTTTAAAATTTATAAAAGTAGTAAATAGCTCCTTTAAGTGGTAATACAATCCTGTTTAATCTCTTTACCTTAAACAATGATGGTACAAAGATAAATGTCTCCTTTAAGCTAGGTTGAACTATCTCATATTTTCTTTTTTCAAAAAGAAGATTTTGCTATAGGGTGTGTGTGCTTGCTAGAAAGACAGAAAGAGACAGAGAGACAGAAAGTGAGAAATCACCCCTAGTGCGGATGGCCATCCTGCAGTCGCTTCTCCTCCATTCTCCTCTCGGGATCTTGGGCACACACAAATATGCACCCAGCACGAGTTTAAGCCACCAGGTCCGGGTCTTGAACTGTGGTCGGCTACATGAGAGTCCACTGACATAATGATTACACCATCTGCTGGTCCCCCAACTATCTCATATTTTGATTAGTGAGATTTTTACTAACAAATCTTGGCATAAAAATACGTTAGAATTACATTTCTTGAATGGTCAACACTCACTGAAAAAAAGTATAAGTTATTGGAAGCTGACTTGTTAAGAGAAATGTGGATGGAATCTCTAATAAAAAGGCAAAACAAGGGGAGAATTGGAAGGGAGGCAAGAAAAGGGGTTCTCATTTTCTTCAACTGAGGGGACAGAGAGACCATATCGCACCAGACACGGTCATGCTGCGGTTCCTTCTCTCCCATCTTTCCATCCTGTCGGGATTTGGGGCACACATGCACATGCACCCAGTGTGATTTTCAAGCACCAGGGACAAGATGTGAACCACAGTCAGTCATGTGGGATCTGATTCCCCAACCACTAGATGATGGACCAACCCAGCCATCTCGTGTAGATGCAGCACATTTAGTGGTGGGTCCTTCCCTGAATGCGTGTCTTTCCCTTTTATGAGGGAGAATACACACAGACACAGGAGGGAGACAGAGGATAGTTATCTTTGACAGACTCTCACTGTGTGGCGGTTTTCCTGCCCCAGGCTCCTGCTCAGCTAGGACCACAGGTGCAGCCTATTGGAATTGGCTGGAAATCCAAGCTGGGCTCGCCGTGCAGCCTCAGCTATGGAGTATTGGCACCTGTAACACCATTCCTTAACTAACCTTGAAGGAGACAAACTTCAGTCTGTCTGGCTGTAATAGATATTATGATCAATATCATGATGGATTGAAAAATATGTAACCAGATGAAAATCATGTGGAATTCAATGAGAAAACAATACATTGTAAAGGAAGAAATGTATCCAAAGTAAATACTACTCATCCTTTAAGTTCTCAAGATCAAACTAATAAGGCCTGCTTTGGAAGAATTCAAAATAATTTTGAATTTCCTCTGTATTTAAATCAGTGATTATCAGGATCCAGCAGGTGGCTTGGTTGTTAAGGCACTGATCCCCACATCACCAACCATGGTTCAAATCTTGGACCTGGCAGCTTGAAAATCACACCAGGTATATGTACGTGTGTGCCCCGGAATCCTGAGAGGAACATGGAGGGGAAGGAATTGTGGTGTGCAGGAAAGACAGGTATCCCTTCTGAGGATGATTTCTCATTTTCTTTCTCTTTGTCTCTCCCCAGCAAGTCCATGTGCCCTATGGCAAAGCCCAAAACAAATTAAAAGAAGAAAAAAAAAATCAGTGATTATCAGTCTTCAGTGTACCAGATAGCAATTTTTTTTTTTTAGAGGTTTTCACTATAGGACGCATGCGCTCGCCAGACAGACAGAGAGAGACAGAAAGCGAGAAATCACCCCCCAGGGGGGATGGTCACGCCACAATCCCTTCTCCATTCTCCTCTCGGGATCTTGGGCATGCACGCTCACGTGCCCGGCGTGAGTTCTAAGCCACCTGGTCCGGGATGCGAACCGCGGTCAGCTACGTGGGAATCCAGCGACACAGCCATTACGCTAACTGCTGGTTCCCCCAGATAGCAAATTTAGGGAGCCATCTAGGATCCTGATTCTGGGGAGGAGCCTGTGAATCTCTACTTTTTAACAAGCACATCTGGTAATTCCTATGCACAGGTCCTAGAGCGATCCCCTTGAAGAACACTTGGTGAAGTGGGCTCAGGGGTTCAAATTCCAGGTTGAATGCTGACAGATCCCACTGGGGGCTTGAAAGACACTCGAAGTGGAGAGAAGAACTGAAAAGCCAATGTATAAATTGCCTTTATAGCAAAACCTTTATTTTTAAACACAAATCTAAATATATTCTTAAGTTTTCGTTGTGGACTTACACATTTGAGACATATGGTATAAGTAAGAAGCTGCGTTTGTTTTTTAGGAATTTGGAAGCTCCAGAGATGCCAGTGTATTCTGTGAAGGGCCATAAAGAAATTATAAATACTATAGATGGTATTGGTGGGTTAGGAATTGGGGAAGGAGCCCCTGAAATTGTGACTGGCAGCCGAGATGGTGAGTCCATGTATTCTGTATTTTTTGTTTTTTCTTTTTAAAAACTGAACATCTCTGTGCAACAGTACATCTTCTCTATGTAAAAGTCCTTTTCAATTGCCTTGACCCCCTAGATTAAGATCTAACAATCTTGCTGCTACTTTTCAAATTGACGTGCTTGATTGTATAGCCGTCAGTCGTGTCAGACTTTTGGGTATTTTTGAGTTCGAGGCACAGGGCACTTACAGTTTTAGTGTTGAGCTAGTTCAACTACTCACAATGATGGTTTCCTCTAAACCTTGAAGGATTTAAAATGTCTTTACAGTTTTTCGAGGCAGCTGATGATATAATGTGGGTGGCAGCTTTTCATTTTCATTTTTAAAAAGTAGAATTAGTACTTGTGAAAATTGACAGCTGGTTGGGATCTGAAGTTTTGTGATCCATCCTGTGAGCATTATAGACAGCTCCACGGGACCTGGCTTTTCCACGTGCAGTGAGGCGCAGGTATCCAAAGCTGTTCCAAAAAACTGGAACTGAGTCAGAATTTTTGTTGCTTCAAAAGGGGTATGTGAGAGATTTGGTACCTTAATTAATTTGCTGTTTTTTGGGGGGTTTTTTGTTTGTTTGTTTGTTTGTTTGTTTTTTAGAGAGAATTTTGCTATAGGGCATGTGCACTTGCTGGAGAGATAGAGAGACAGACCAGCGAGAAACCCCCCCCCAGCGGGGGGTGGGGGTTGGCCATGCCACAGTCTCTTCCCCTCCATTCTTCTCTCAAGATCTTGGGCATGCACATATGCACACGCACCTGGCATGAGTTTGAAGTCACTGGGCCAGGACTTGAATCATGGTCAACTACATGAGAGTCTAGCCATGTAGCCATTATACCATCTGCTGGTCCCAGATTTGCTAGGTTTTTTTAAATGGCCACTGAAGACCATGAAGAAATTGTGTTAAAAGCAAAGTGAGATGCCCTTTCTAATAGGCACTCAAAAGCACCTGTGTTTTAGAAACAATTTTTTTAATCATAAAGCAATGTGGAATAGAGAGGGGACATGTAGTCTGCCACACTATCACAGACATTAGATTCTCTTTCCGTTCCTAGTCTTAAAAACAAGTTTTTCAATGGGAATATGAGCTGGTACCTCCTTTTTCATTTTATTTTTGTCATGTACAACTGTTACTATTTCCTTATAGTTTTCATCACTATTGTTTTAATGACTGTATAACAGTCCATCATATGACTATACTTAATCACACATTGAGTTAATAAGCATTCAGTTTGGGGCCGGCAGGTGGCGTGGTGATTAAGGTACTGGACTCTCCCATGGCCAAACACAGTTTAAGTCCTGGACCTGGTGATTTGAAAATCTTGCCGGGCACTTATGCATGCTTGTCCAAAGTCTCAGGAGGAGAATGGAGGAGAGGGGATTACAGCGCTCTCACTTTCCCTCTCACTGTCTTTCTCTGGTAAGTGCATGTGTCCTATGCCAAAAAAAAAAAAAAAAAGGCATTCAGTTGTGTGAATTTTTTGTTTACATTTTTAGAAAAGTAACTTCATAATAATGAAGAAATGAATATTTTTATTTACTCTCTGGAATATGAACTCTTTTAAAATAAACGTACCTAATGGTTTCTAAAGTTGATTTATGCACTTTCCAGGGTACTTTATTACAATGGTTGAGGTAGATTTCCAGTTTACCCTCCTAGCATTGATTTTCTTTTTTCCCCTCATAATTTTATAGATTAAAAATGGTACACTATGACTGTGTTGACTTATTTCTATGTTTGTTTATGAGTTCATTTTTAAATTTATTCATTATAGAACAGCACCTGTGCATACATGAGAGAGAAACCATCGCCCTCTACAGAGTCTAGTTGTACTACAATCCCCTTCCTCTAGTTCTCTAGCTTATCAGCTCTTTTTTTTTTTTTTCAAGAATTATTTTATTTATTATTATTTCTTAATTTGACCAGAGAGAGACAGAAAGAGAGAGGGAAAGTTAGAAAGCAGGCCTCCAGGTCTGGGGCTCGAACTGTAGCCAGCCATGTGGGAGTCCAGCGCCTTAACCACCATACCATCTGCCGGCTCCCTAGCCTATCAGCCCTTGATAATTCACACATGTCCTTGGCATGTTTCAAGCTGATCAGGCAGTCTTAATATGGGATCCAGCCTCTCTTTAGTATAACATTCCCACTACACTATAGATGGTTCTTGTTTGGGGAGTTATCTGTTTCTATTCTTTGCTCACTTAACTATGGAGAAATTTCTGAAGTTTATCTTTTTTTTAGGCTCTGTAGAATAAGATAATGTTGTATCAACTTTGCGGGAAAATTTTTTCTCCTTAAAGCAGCATTTTTAATGACTAGGATAATAATTTTATCCTGGGAGATAAATCTAGTGATCTATACCTCTGCTTTGATCTCTTTTAAGGATTCCCCTTTCCTTGTCTCTTTTGGGTACTTACCTTTTATTCATTTTATTAAGTGTGTTTGTGTCTCTCATAGGGAGTGGCACCATTTAGTTAGTAGTCCTGTCCTTTGAATTAATATGGGGGTTGAAATTAAATTGAGATGAATTACTCAGTAATTGTATTTAATATTTTCCCCCACTGTTTCTACATGAAAATAAGACTTAATTGTATATGAAATGGTATTCTAAAACCACATGTAAAACCTATCATACAAAACTAGGGTTTATTCATCTGTATAAGAAAAATGTCAATGTTTATATGAATACTAAGGAAAAAATTAAAATGAAAATAATGCTGGTATTAATCCTAATAAATAATACATCAGTTTTTGGCTCCAAGAAAAGAAGGTAAGAATTGAGTTACATAAAATTTGTGTTTGGGGACCAGCAGGTGGCATGGTGGTTAAGGTGCTGGACACTCTCACATGGCCAACCATGGTTCAAGTCCCTGTCCTGGTGGCTTGCTTTCTCACTTTCTCTCTCTCTCTCTCTCTCTCTCTGACTTTCTCTCTGGTCAAATTAAAATAAATGAATGACTAAATAAAATTAAATAATTATTTTTAAAAATGTGTGTTTGCCTTGTTGATCATAATTTATAGAAAATTTAGGAACAGTTGTTGGCCTTTCTGTATATCAATTAATTTGGAAACCAAGTCCAATAATAACTTATGGGATTTATCTCAGATATCAAATACAACTTACCAAAAAAAGAACTCAGCAAAATATGAATTTCTTCAGATGTCACAACATCTATTATATTGCCATATACCCATTGCAGAAAAGAAGCATGATCATTCACTATTTTTTTTTGTTGTTGTTGTTATAGGGCACGTGCGCTCGCCAGAAAGACCGAGAGAGACAGAGACAGAAAACGAGAAATCACCCCCCAGGGGGATGGCCACACCGCAATCCTTTCTCCTCCATTCTCCTCTCGGGATTCTGGGCATGCACGCACACGCACCTTGCATGAGTTTAAGGCACAGGGTCCAGGACTCAAACTACGGTCGACTACATGGGAGTTCAGCAACATAGCCATTATGCCAACTGCTGGTCCTTATCATTCACTATTAAATGTCCACTTTTATTCATGACAGGAACTGTGAAGGTGTGGGACCCACGGCAAAAAGATGATCCTGTTGCTAATATGGAGCCTGTGCAAGGAGAAAACAAGAGAGACTGTTGGACAGTGGCATTTGGTAAATTGTCAAAGAAATCTTGCATTGGACGTATCAGATCCTGAAAGACACAGTGTGCAAGAAATTACTTATAGTCTTTTTATAGTCTGTTTTGTGGATTGTTCTGAATGTATTTGTTTATTGAATCAAATATACATGTAGTTAGTGCCAGACTCTGGGGCCTGGGTTTGAAGCCCTGTTCCACCACTTAGTGGCTGTGTGGCCTAGGACAAGTTATGAAACTTCTCTGTCTTTGGTTACTTCAGTTATAAAACAGAACTAATAATAAAGTTTACTTGGTGATAGTGTTATGAGATATCAATGTGTGAATACTTTTAAAGAACTTAAAATTATGCTTAGATAATTTAGTCCTCAAGAGTATGTGTGGTGAGTATTATTAGATGCTTCTGTTTAATTAGGTAGTGTTGACCTATTTTAAAACCAAATGCCAGGGCTGGCAGGTGGAGTGGTGGTGGATGGGAGTCTACCACATGGCCTACCATGGTTCGAGTCCTGGACCTGGTGATTTGCTTTTTCACTTTCCCTCTCTTTCTGTCTCTCTTTGGTAAAATTTAAAGATAATAATATTAATAAATAAGGTAATTATTTTTTTTAAAATGCAAATGGTAACCTAACAAATCTTACATTGCACTTTATATAGAGTATGCTTATTTTTTAGAAAATAATTCGCCATTACAAAATTATTTCTTATAAATATGCTGTGTTCCTCTATTAATGTATTTAAAGTAGAATATTGATTTTGTAGAGTTAATTTATATTTTCTCTTGGATCTCTTGTCGAACACCAAAATTAATTTTTGCTACTGAGAGATAGAGGTCATATTTAGTTTTTTTTTTTTTTAATATTTATTTATTTAGTTTTCTATTTTCTGTTGCAATTTTCAAAAGTTGCTGGGTCCAGGATGTGAATCATGATCAGCCATGTGGGAATCCAGCACCTTAACCACCTCGCCACCACCTGCTGGGCCCAGGCCATATTTGGTTGGAGTTTTTTTTTTGGAGAGGTTTTTGCTATGCTCACCAGAAAGACAGAGAAACAGAGAGACAGAAAGTGAGAAATCACCCCTGGGGGGATGGCCACGCCACAATCCCTTCTCTTCCATTCTCCTCTCGGGATCTTGGGCAAACATGCACACATGCCTGGCGTGAGTTTAAGCCACTGGATCCAGGACTTGAATTGTGATCGACTACATGGGAGTCCAGCAACATAGCCATTACGCCAACTGCTGGTCCCACCATATTTAGTTTTAAAACTCCATATTTTTTCCCCTTTTTCTAAGTATAATTAACAATGACAACAGACATTAAAAGTGGGATTTTTACAATATATATGAATGACTTTACTTCTTATGTTATTTTAAAATTGAACTTATTTAATCAGAGGAAGATTTTATATTTCTAATTTTTAAAAGGAATTATATGAGAATTGCTATGTATTTGTATACTATGAGCAGTACATCAACTGAAGATCTTCACACTTTGGGGAGTAATTTGAGGATTCATATTTAGAATGATCTTTTTAAATGGATTTCAAACTTTCCTTTTTTTTTTTTTGGAGAGGTTTTTGCTATAGGGTGCGTCTGCTCGCCAGAAAGAGACAAAAAGCGAGAAATCACCCCTGGGGAGATGTCCATGTCGTAATCCCTTCTCCTCCATTCTCTTCTCAGGCTCTTGGGCATGCATGCACAGGTGCCCAGTGTGAGTTTAAGCCACCGGGTCCAGGACTTAAACCATAGTCAACTACATGGGACTCCAGCAATGTAGCCATTACACCATCTGCTGGTCCTGGATTTCACACTTACAAAGTAGCTATGTTTGTATTCATTGCAGCCTTTTCATTATTGATCCTGGGATATAAGTACAATATAGGACAGGCATAGTACAGTTAGTGGTGATAAAATCTCAAGAGAGGCATGGATAAATGCAGAAGGAATCCAAGTGACAGGACAAGGGTAGAACATTTGGACCCCAGACCAAGGATAAATAGAATTAAAACTACTGAATAGGGAGGGGATTTCAAGCATAGGGCAACTTGAAAGTGCCCAAAAAGGTACGTAGAAGGGAGAGGTGGCTCAGAGCCATGACCAGACATGTTTGAAGGGTTTGTCAAGGAAGACATGTGACCTGAGCTTTGGGAAAATTAACTGGTGGGGGTAGAAGAGAGAGAGGAGTAGCACAAGGGAAGTTGCGTTCAGGAGCCCTTTGGAATGTTCCAGGTGAGACATAAATTAGAAGCAATGAGAATGGAGCAAAGGGGATGATTCAGAGATGTGATTATGGCAGAAGAAATAGAAACTGATAATTCTCGGAGATGAAGAATAAGAAATACGTTGAGGACAACTGAGTTTTGAGGCCTTTTGTGGGGTGAATAATGTTAGTAATTTGAGAATCTTTACAAGAGGCGGAATGGTTTGTAAGGGAAGATATGAAGTCAGTTTTTGTTTTTATTTTTAATGGTAGGAAAGCTTTGTGACATTTTTATTAAAAAGTTTATTTGGGGACCTGCAGTTGGCATAATGGCTGTGTTGCTGAACTCCCATGTAGTCGACTGCGGTTCCAGTCCCGGACCCGGTGGCGTAAAGTCACTCCCGGCATGTGTGTGTGCGTGCCCAAGATCCTGAGAAGAAAATAGAGGAGAAGGGATTGCGATGTGGCCATACCCCTAGGGGGATGATTTCTCGTTTTCTGTCTCTCTGTCTTTCTGGAGAGCATAGGCGCCCTGTAGCTAAAACCTCTAAATATATATGTATGTATGCATATATATGATTTTAAAAATCTGCCTTGGGGCCTGCTTGGTGGTTAAGGCAGCTGGATCCTGCATGACTACTTACATGGTTTGAGTCCTGGGCCCAGTGGCTCAACAAACACACTGGACATGTGTGCCCAAAATCCTGAAAGGAGGGAGAAGTAGAGGAAAAGGGATTGTGCTGTGACCATCTGTCTCTGTCCATCTCTGGAGAATGCACATCCCTCTGGCAAATTAAAAAAGAGAAAAAATATGGCTTGGTGTAAGTTTTATGTATAGTTTCATAAGATTTTTAAAGCAACCTTCAAATTAGCATTGGTAATAGAATCTAAAATGCTGTGCCTTGATTTCTAGGCAATGCTTACAATCAAGAGGAGCGTGTTGTTTGTTCTGGCTATGACAATGGGGATATTAAACTGTTTGATCTCAGAAATATGTCATTACGCTGGGAGACAAACATCAAAAACGGGGTAATGTACATGCTGATGCTTTTTAGTTTTTTTTAACATGTTTTGATCTACCTCTGAACTACTCCAAAAGGAAAGCACCTTTATTTTTTTTATCTCTTTTTTAAAGAATTATTTATTTAACTTTATTTACTATTATTATTTTTAAAATTTGCTATAGGGCACATGTGCTACCAGAAAGGGACAGAAAGAGAAAGAGAGGGAAAGTGAGAAAGCAAGTCACCAGGTCTGGGACTCAAACTGCAGTTGGCCGTATGGGAGTCCAGTGTCTTAACTACCACACCACCTGCTAAACCAGAAAGCACCTCTATTAACCCATCCTGGTTTTCAACACCTGTGCCAATGGTTCTTTTGGGGCCTTTTGGGGCCTTCAATGGACCTTTTGGGGTCAGACCTCTTTGAGAAGCTAACGAGACTCATGGATCCTCTCTTCAGAAAGTGAACACACACCCAGACATGCTGAGTAAAATGCCAGGGGAGTCATTAGCCCCCAGTGCCCATCCATGGACCCCCTGGGCCATGCCGTGTGATAGCAAAGTGAGATGCCTTTTTTCTGCTAATATCAGAAAACCTGAAATAGTAATTTTTTCCCCAAGTATCTTCAGATTTTTATTTCATGAATTGCTTACCTTTAGTGAAAACTGGTTCCTTCCTATTTTCTGAAATTGACCTTGACTTAGTCGTAGTAAATAATGTAAAAAGGTAAATTGTGACTTTTCAAAGGCATCAACTGACCATGGGAAACCAAAATGGTTTTGTTGATCTTACGAATGGAGAAGAAAAAGAAATTTTTTTTCCAGTAAAAGTTCTTGATGTGACTCAGAAGATAGAATGATTATTTAAGTGCCTTGCCATGATCTCTTTCTCTTAGAGCTGTTCCACCTAGTTAAAAGAGCCTCCTGAATAATAGTGATATGACTATCAATAATAAATATTTTCTATTTTCAGGTATGTAGCTTGGAATTTGACAGAAAAGACATAAGTATGAATAAGTTGGTAGCTACATCTCTGGAAGGAAAGTTCCATGTTTTTGACATGCGAACACAGCATCCAACCAAAGGTTTTGCCTCTGTTTCAGAAAAGGTAACTGTGAGAAAAATGTCTGTCTTTTTTTTTTTTTAATAATTATTTATTTAATTTTCTTTATTATTATTATTTTTTAATTTGTCATAGGGCATGTACATTCACCAGGGAGAGACAGAGAGAGAGAATGAGAGTGGGAAAGAGAAAGCAAGTCATCAGGTCCAGTACTTAAAGTATGGTTGGCCATGTGGGATCCAGGGCCCTAACTACCATGCCACCTGATGACCCTGAGAAATAGCTTTCTATGAAGCAGAATAATAGCTTGCTTTAGATGAATAAATAGAGTTAGTCACTCAGGTTCCTTCCAGGTCTTTATGTGAAGGGAGCTATTTTTGATACATTCTTGTAAGATCCTGACAAATTTTTTTGTGCTAAGAGCACTTTTTCAAAAGTTTATCAACTTTAGACTTCTTGATTATAATAAAGATCTCAGCTAGGGATCTTATTTTTGTAGTTTAGGAGCAATCAGAAGAAATCTAGCTGATGTTAGAAATTTGATCAATAGGGACCAGCAGTTGGCATAATGGCTATGTTGCCGGACTACCACATAGTTGACCGCGGTTCGAGCCCCAGACCCAGCGGCTTAAACTCAAGCTGGCCTCATGTGCATGCATGCGCAAGATCCCAAGAGGAGAATGGAGGAGAAGAGACTGCGGTGTGGCCATCCTCCTGGGGACGATTTCTCACTTTCTGTCTCTTTGTCTCTCTGGCAAACACTTGCGCCCTATAGCAAAAACCCCTCCAAAAAAAAAAAAAAAGAAATAAGATCAATAAAATATAACCTGGCATTTTCTAATAACTATATGATATTTATATTAATACTTAGTTATATACTTTTCAAAATGTATCAACAGACACACATTATGTCATTTTATTATTTTATTATTAAAAACATTGAGGGCATTTGCTATAGGGCATGTGTGCTCACCAGAGAGAGAGAGAGAGCGAGAGAGAGAGAAAGCAAGCCTCTACATCTGGGACTTGAACTGTGGTCTAAGGTGTAGGAATCCAGCACCCTAACCATGACCCCACCTGCTGGCCCCCATGGCTGGTTTTTTTTTTTTAAGAGATTTTTGCTATCGGGCTCCTGCTCACTGGAGAGACAGAGAGCAATAGAGAGACAGAAAGCAAGAAATAATCCCCCAGGGGGAGTGGCCAGGCCATAGTCCCTTGTCCTCCATTCTCCTCTCAGGATTTTGGGCACTCATGAACACCCACCCAGCATGACTTTCAAGCCACCAGGTCTGGGACTCAAACCGGGCTCGGCCATGTGGAAGTCCAACAACGTAACCATTGTACCATCAGCTGGTCCCATGACTGGTATATTTAAGAAGTTATTTCTCCTCTTACTCTTTGTATTTTTCTCAATTTCCAAAAGAAAAAAGAAATTTAAGCTATAAAACAAAGTTTCTACAACTTGAACTTTATCACTTGGGGATTCTTGCACACTTTAAGTGTATATTTTAAGATATATGTTTAGTATCTGCTATTGACAATTTTACTAAAAGACTATTCAAATCAAATGTCAAGACTAATCACTCCCTAAAAATACATGTACGAGTGCAGCTTAGATCAAGTTACCAGCCTCACTGCTTCTACAAAACAGAAGTCATTAAGTCGTTCATTCATCCCCTCCCTTGCCTTCTCTCCTGTCCCTCCCTCCCCTTATCCCTGTCTACCCAAGTTTCTCTACAGAGATGTTGCACTGCTAGAATGTTAAGTCTGTTTTGTTTTATTTTAATTAATTAATTAATTTGTTTATTTATTTTTGAGAGGTTTTTGCTATAGGGCATGTGTGCTTGCCAGAGAGACAGAGAGACAGAAAGTGAGAAATCACCCCCCAGGGGGATAGACATGCTGCCATCCCCTCTCCTCCATTTTCCTCTTGAGACTTTGAGCATGCATGCACACACGCCCAGCATGAGTTTCAAGCTACCCGGTCTGGTACTTGAACCACAGTCGACTACATGGAAATCCAGTCACATAACCATTATGCCATCTGTTGGTCCCTATTTTTTTTCCCTAGGTTTTTGCCATGGGGTGTGTGCCCTTACTGAGAGACAGAAAAAGACAATGAGAGGGAAAGTGAGAAATTTCCCCTCACCCTATAGTTGGGAGAATGGTGGGTCAGCCATGCGCAATCCCTTCTTCTCTATTCTACTCCTGGGATTTTGGCTGTTTTTGAGGTACCTCCTAAACTGTTACCATTCTACCAATTGCTATTTAAAAATCTTGCAGTTCAATGTGACTGATAAAGGCCCTTTTATGAACTAAACATTGTAAATTCTCATGGTCCTTATTTTGAAGACTGGACAAAACCAAATGGCAATAAATTGAAGATAAGGTTCTGGGAGCTCTAGTTAAAATTCAGTTTATAAATGAGAACACTGCACTTTCCTCTCAGTTTTGCTGTGAACTTGAAACTGCTCTAAAAATTTAAAGTCTGTTTTCTTTTTTAAATTTTTTGCTATAGAGCACATGGGCTTGCTTGAGAGAGACGAAAAGAAGGAAAGTTAGAGATTGCCCCCCATATGTGATGGCCATGCTGCAATCCCTTCTCCATTATCCTTTTTGGATTTTGGTCACACGTGCAAATGCACCTTGAATGTTTTCCAAGCTACTGGATCTGGGACTCAAACAGTACAGTTAGCCCCGTGGGATCCAGCTGCTTTAACCACCACACCACCAGCTGGCCCTAAAGTCTGTTTTTAAAAAATATTCAATCTAGGGACCAGAAGATGACATAATGTCACATTGCTGGACTCCCACATAGTCGACCACGGTTGGAATCCCAGACCCAGTGTCTTAAAACTCATGTTGGGCATGTGTGCATGTGTGCCCAAAATCCTGAGAGGAGAATGAAGGAGAAGGGATTGTGACGTGGCCATCCCCCCCGGGGATTGATTTCTAACATTTGGTCTCTCTATCTCTCTGTCTCTCCAGCAGCACATGTGCCCTATAGCAGGAAAAAAAAAATCAATCTACACCTTTTTTCCTCTTATGGAAAAGTATATGTTGCATGTTTTTTCTCCCTCAGAATGAACCAGAGATGTTTAAATACATAACATCTATTTTCATAATTTATACAACACTATAAACTAAATGGACTTTTAATCCTCTTTCTTATTTTTTTAATTCAGTATTAGTTGTTTCATAAAGCCATAAAGAAGTATGATGCAGTTTAAGATTTCTAATGGGCTCCTAATGTATCTCTGTAGTCATTATAAAGAGATGGGGCAGAAAAATAACCTTAATTGCTTTTATTAGTAGAAATGACAGTCGTAGGAAGTCTTTATTTACAGGTCACAATGTAGCGTGTGCTCCTTGTCCCATTCAGGCTCAGAAGTCTACCGTGTGGCAGGGCCGACACCCGCCGCAGAAACCTCAGTGCTCAGAAGTCTGCGGTGGGGCAGGCCCGCCCCCTGCCGCAGAACCGCGAGCTCTTCCTGACAGCCGGAGGCGCCGGCGGCCTTCACCTCTGGAAGTAGTAAGTCTCTCCCAGTGCACTCGCTCCTTTTTAAGTTACTCGTGGGCGTAAAGTAGGAATAGATTGAACTTTCTTGTCTTCTCCTCTTCTTTTGACTTTGTTCATTTGATATGAGTTTAAATTTGATGATGTTACATAACTATTGTTTTCTTAGAAAATTAATGTACTTACTTAATATTTAGTAAATACTGACCTTCTTTAACACACTAAATATATTTGTCATTTCAGTTGTCTCTTGTATAAATTTAAAAACAGTTTGTAGATTTGAAATGATGTTTTACCTTTTTTTTAGTTAAAAACATTTTTTTTAACTTGCTTGAGAACGAGTGTGCTCATTAGAGAGAGACAGAGAAAGAGAGAAAGGAGAAAGGAAGAGTGAGAAAGCTCCCCTCAGTGGGTATGTCCACACCACAACCTCTTCTCCCATCTGTCACAGTTTTGGGCACATACTCACATGTGCCCCGCATGTCTTTCAGGATGCCAAGTCCAGTACCAAGACCACACAGTTAACCATGTAGGATCCAGCCACCTCAAGAAGCATGGCCCCTAAGTTTGAGAAATTTTACCTATGACTTTTTCTAAGTATCCTAGTCATTAAGACACTACCTCCAGAAGATAAGAAAAAGACTGATATTCTTTTATCCTGATCATTCAGTTGCCTAAATCCAGATAATGTCTCTGTGATAGAACCAAAACAGAGCCCAAGGCTCCTGACAGGTTTCCAGGAAAAGCTTCATTATTGGGTTTGCTATCTGCATGCTTAGGCAGGAGGAGTTACAGTGAGCTGTTCCCGTGCTCTGTACTGTGTGACTCCCAAGGGCCCTAACATGGCAGATACTAGGTCAGCTGCTCATTTATAAGGTCTGGTAAACATTGGGAATTAACAGGGCCAAGTAGTGATGCAGTAGTAATGCAGCTGAATCAAATGGAAAAGATTCTGGGTTCCTATCCTACGACCTTCCTGACCATGGTGAGTGTGAGCACACACATGGGAGCCACTAACAGGGCCGCCTGAGGGGGGGGGGGGGTGGATTGCAGCATGAAGACCCTACTGGGAATATGTCTCTCTCTCTCTCTGTAATAAGTAAATGAAACTTTTAAAATAAGTAAATAAATAAAAATGAGAAGAAAATAGGAGTTAACAGTATTTCCAAATACTTTTTTGGCTAAACAGTAAATAGTTAGATGGAAACAAAAATCTCTAAACATCACTCAGGAAAATAAATATCACATGCCAATAAATGAAGGATATTTCAGAAATAAAGTTTGATTAATAAATAGGGAAACACCATCTTTAGTAACTCTGGGACTTTAATATGTACAAAATTTTTTTCTATGATTAGCTCCTTTTAGAAGCTGGATGGGCATTCTAAAAAAAACCAACAGACTACCATTGGAAAGTGCTTGATAAAGTATTTAGGGATATAGCCGATAAAAAAACCAGGGGGCTCAGCCTCTGGTGCAGGCAGTAGTATATCAGACCACACACAGTACGAGAAGCCACACGGCGATCACAGGTGGGACCCCCAGCCAGGTTGGCCTGAAAACACACCAGTGTGTGTGTGTGTGTGTGTGTGTGTGTGTATGCACGTGTGTGTGCATGCACCTATGCATCCAGGATCTTGGCAGGCTGGAGGACTGGAGGAATGGGTTTGCTGAGTAACTGAATGCTCTGGAAGGTACTTCTCTCTCTCTCTCTCTCTCTCTCTCTCTTTCTAGCTCACACACACTCTATCATGAATAAAACAAAACTAAATAGAAAACAAAAAAAATGAGAGTGAATGCCTTGTATCAAACAGTATGGCTTCCTTGAGTGAAAGGCAGAGGGAAAGTTTTTGGAGTTCTGGGAGAGTGCTGGGCAGAGACATCATCTGATCATTTCTCTGTTCTTGGCACCTCCGCCCATTGCGCATGCCTGACTCTTCCAGCCCATTCTCTACCCCAGCCCTGTTAGCCTCTGACGTCCCCCTCCTTCAGACATGCAGTGGCCTTCAGTATTTCACCTGATGACCGATCTCTTTCCGTTGCTTGCTTGAAGATCCAGTCCCACTCTTCTTTGGAATCTACACGTGGAGTTGTATTCCACATGGTGGACAAACACGATTGTAGCTGGACTTTTCCACTCAAGCCGTTATATCCGTTACATTGGGTCAATACACAACTAGGAATTTGAAGTTTATCTCAATTTGAGCTTTAATCCTTACGAAGAGAGATATCTAGACTAATTTTCAAATTGGGTGGGTGCTTTACTGTTAACTATTGTATCAGCAAAGAGAATTGGTTTAAGTAAAATGATATTTAGCCTTATTTCCAGTTGCCAGTCTGCTTTGGTAGTAATGCAATAATTGTAAATATTTATTGAGCAGTTAACCAAGAATTTCTAGAAGAATTCATCTCGTTATGCAGAAGTTGTTTTATGAATGAATGGGCCCCGACAGACTCACTTTTTTGAGTACTTGAAATGGTACACACACATAAACATACACACACACACACACACACACACACACACATACACATACACATGCACTTAGAAAGCTTTAAATAGATAATGTGGAGGGTTTTACAGAAATCTCTGATATCTCTTAAATACTAAATAACAGCAACTTTTGCCAAGAGATACATGGGAAAAAGTCTGTGTTTAAACTGTTTATGCGTCTTAATGTGTTTTTCCTTTTAATGAAAATAATTGCCAGAGTCCGGGAGGAGGAGAGAATAGTACTTTATCTTACTATAGCTTCTTGCAGTTTTGCTCTACTTCTTTATGCCTCTTAAACTTTTGGCTTTTTATTAGCTTGAGTGAAATAAAAATTTGCATCACAATTGATACCTAGTAGGCTTTAGAAGCCTTCTGAAGAGGATTACCTCTATATTTTACTAGGTGCATATCTCCATAGGGGTAAGAGCATTTCCTTTTATCCTTTTTAAAGTTTATTTCTTCCTTGAGCAAGAGAGACAGAGGAAGCGACAAAGAGACAGTACTCCCAACAGGGTCCTGCCACCCAATCCACCCCAGCCTGAGCCAGCCCTGGGGCATGGCACGTGGTGCTCAGGTGTTCGGGGAGGTCTCCAGCCACAAACTCAGAGCCTTCCTATGGGAGTCAACCTTGCAGTGCATTGTGTTTTGTTTGTGTACAGCCATCTGGCCCCAAGTATTTCTTTTTAACCCTCTCTCAGACCTTGACCAGGTGGTATTTATGAGTTGTTAACTTTCAGCTCTTCTTACTTCATAAATTTATATTTTCAGCTGAAAAAAAAGGTTCTTAGAATTGCCTTTTATCTTTCTTTCTTTCTTAGAATTTGTCGGGGGTGGGGGTGGCAGGTGCTGAGGTGGTTAAGGGCCCTGGACTCCCACATGGCCAACTGCGATTTAAGTCCTGGACCTGGCGGCTTGCTTCCTCACTTTCTCGCTCTCTCTCGCCCTCTCTCGCTCTGTCCCTCTCTGGTCAAATTTAAGCAAATGAATGAATTAATGAAAGAATTAATGAATAAATAAATAAATAAAGTTAAATAATTCTTTTAAAAAAAGAAAGATTCTTTTCTATTAGCTCCAGTAATAACTAAGAAATAAAGTAATAACTAAGAAATAAAAATATAGTCATCAAAGTATTTTTATAAAAATGAATTGGTGATGAATGATAAGATTTATTTCCTTTTCACTTTGATATTTTTCTTAGTGAATACCCGGTGCAGAGGTCAAAGAAGGATTCCGAGGGAGTGGAGATGGGAGTCGCAGGTTCTGTCAGCCTTCTGCAGAACGTGACATTGTCTACTCAGCCCATTTCAAGTGTGGACTGGAGTCCAGATAAAAGGGGTCTCTGCGTCTGTAGTTCCTTTGACCAAACAGTGAGAGTACTGATTGTTACAAAACTCAATAGAATTTGAGTTGAAGACTTTGGACTTGAAACCTCTCAGAGGAATACTCATAGATTACAAGCTATGTTCTAGGATCCTCTGACCCTCATTGAACAAAACTGGATTTGGCTGATGAAAGAAGGCCCCAGCCACAAACCTCCAGGCTAGCCTCCTGCCTGTCCTTGGGTGCATTTGGTGATCTGACATTGGCTTACAGCTGGGCATGGGGGTGCCACTCTCCCCAGAGCCCCCTCCCCTCCATTTCTAATACAAAGTCAGTCAATGTCTCTATTTAAATGTATTTTACATTTCTTCTATTAATACATCCCCCAAAGTTCCATATTTCATCTTTTGCACTGGTGATGTGTTTTGTGTTTATAATATTGTGACAGAAAACACTTTATTTGGCTTAAAATAATTTGCTTTGGAAAAACTACTGTGAATTAACTTTCATCAATACAAATTTATGAAGTACAAATTTCATAAATACGAATTTCAGTCTAAGTTCTGTGCAGAATATCATTTTATAAAATACCAAAATGGCACCATCAGATTGGATTTGAGTTATTGTTTTCAGGAACATAAGTCATAAAATGAAATACTATGATTTGCATAGACCTCATTTTTGCTTAAAATACAGGAGTCGAGTTAATGAGACTTTTGATTTTTAACTGTTTCAAGTGATGGTGAGATGTATGAAATTGTGAGGGTTTTATAGTCTTATTTCTTGTCACATCTTTAAAATAATATTTTTATGAATAAACTTCTGTTTTTGAAATCTATGGAAGGTTTGATTCTGTTAAGAGTAGTAATAAAGTCAACACTCACTTTTTTGCTTTATAAACAGTAAGTACCTCTTCATTCATTTTGCTTCTTTAATGTTTACTGTATCTTGGCTGGTGCTGCGGGACAGCAGTAAAGCACTGCTCAGAGCCACATCCCACAGGCGACCAGGGTTTACAGCCCTGGCCCAATTCACCTAAAACATGCTGGGCATGCACAGGAGTACCCTAAGAGTTGACGGGCTGGAGGAATGGAGGAAGGCGATCGTGGCATGACCAGACCCTGTGGATGGTGCTCGTATCGGTTTCTTTCTCTCTTTTTTTTTTAGTTTTTTTTCTATAGGGCACATACGCTTACCAGAAAGACAGAGAGAGTAAGTGAGAAATCACCCCCCCTGGGGGATGGCCACGCCATAAGCCCTTCTCCTCCATTCTCCTCTTGGGATTTTGGGCACACACGCACACACGCCCAATGTGAGTTTGAAGCTGCCAGGCCCAGGACTTGAGCTGTGGTCGACTACAGGGGAGTCCAGCAACATAATGGTTACACCATCTGCTGGTCCCATGTCTCTCTCTTTGTTAACATGCATGTGCACATACTATCATGAATTGAGAAAAAAATGTTAAGTTTCCAAAAGTGTTCACCATATATTTAGCTAAGTCTTGGAAGGTATTGACTTCATCATATTTTCATTAAACCCATTGCCCCCCCACACACACCTCCATCAGATCCACCCAACATATTTGTAATATGTAAAATTCATCTGATTTCAAGGGATAATGGAGTCACTTGCTTGGAATTTCAAATTCAAAATATCACTTTTGGTTCCCGTGCTAGAGTTCACTAGGGAGATAGAACCAGTAGAATATGTACGGATAGGTAAGGGGAAATTTCTTGGAAGAAAAGGTTCATGTAACTATGGTGGCTGAGAAGTCCCACCCAGGCCATCTGCAAGCTGGAGACCCTGGGATGCTGTTAGTCTGGCTCAGTCCAAGTCCAGAGGCCTCAGAGACAGGGAAGCCCGTGACTGTAACTCACGGTCTGAAACTGGAGAACCTTGGGAGTTATTGGTGTAATTCCCAGAATCCAAGAGGAGGCATCAGAAATCTGTTCCACTCTCTAAAGGAGCCCCACTGGCAATCCTGGATTTGTTCTCTCTAGGCCTCCTGTTGATTGGATGGTGCCTTCCCACACTGAGGAGCCTCCCCACTTACTCTATTCATGTGTTAATCTCCTTTGGACAAACCACAGACAAACACAGAATAGTGCTTTATTGGGTTTTTTATTTATTCCTTATTTAAGTTGCCATCCCAAACTAACCGTCACAGTTCACAAAATGTTTTAGGTGCCAATGGTGTGAACATGATTATGAAAAGAAAAAATTAAATAGCACTTATAAAGCCTATTTCTTATGGTTTTTTTTTTTCACCTAATTTTCAAATGGAAAATGAAAAATTGTTTAAAAAAAATCTCTTAGAACCTTTGTATTTGGTGGTATAATAGGTTTAACTGAAGAACAGTAAATACCTGTATTTAATTAAGTCTAACATGTTACCGATTGTAAGATTATCTTATACCACTGAGAAAGAAAAATGCTATCAATGAAAATGCAACAGTGTTTTATATTAACTGAATATTCTTTTGAATCTGTTTGGACAGTTTTGTTCATTATATGTCATTACTGTGTACCCTTATAAAGGAAAATACGAACAAAATTAATTTGGCATAGTTTTTCTCACATTTTTTCATATTCAGAATTGGATCCTTCTTTCTTTAAGAGGTTTTGGCCTTAGTGTACGTGTGCTCACCAGAGAGAAAGAGACATGACGTTCAGCTATGCCAAGGCACTATGAGATCTGCCTCTTAACTTTAGTGACTTGTCTTCTCCCAGGGAGGAAGGCATTTCCTCCTAGAGCTGAGCCTTCCAGTTCCCAGGCCTCTGTCTTAACTGAAGAGCCAGTGGTGTGCTGTCCCCTTGTGGGCGATGTGGGCATTGCAGACTTCCTCACGAGAAAATGGATTTTGCTTTTCAAATGCAATTGGGAAAATCCGCTTTGTTTAATTCCCAGGAGGCACACAAGTCAAACCTTACCTTTAGAAAGATATTTTCTTATATAAATTTCTTTAAAAAATGTGAGTGCGTTTATTTAAAAAATTTTGTTGTCTGTATAACACTGCATAGCATGGCTGTCTTGTTTTTTTGTTGTTGTTTGTTTTTTATACAAGTTTATTAGCCAAAAGTTGCATATTTAGTTTTATTGTAGATTCAGTCTTATTTTTAGCACCATGAGAGTCGACTTCCGAGAGAAAAGATGTGGCTTTTTATAAAATGAGAACTTGGTTTGTAAAGTAAACAACATATGCCTCTACTTCCCATGACCAACTTATGTAAGTTCTGATTTTAATGAGGTATGTCCTAAAGTAAGGACTTCTTTGTGCCATCACTTCTTGTAAGAATTCTAGAATGCTCTACATTTGCATTGGAGATAGTCATTGTTTAAAAAAAACTGTTTCTACTCTAACAAACTAATAAGAGCCTAAGAGCCTTCCATCTGCCTTCCTTTGGAACTACAGAGCACACAGCTGAGACGAGCTAAACAAAATAACCAGCGTGGTCAAAAGAGACTCATGATTCTCCCTCATGCAGGAGGCTGAAGGCATTCGTACTTCCTGCTCCTCATTCTAAGTCTTGAACTTCTCTTCGTCAAACCTAAGCCTTTCATAGCCAGTCAAGATGTCAGCACTGGAAGAGGCCTTTATGACCGCTGCACCCAATCTTTTTCATGGCAGGGTCTACACCTCCTGAACCCCTAGAACTCCCTTCTACACCTTTCTGAGAAGGCCGTTCAACACTCAGTTCCCCACAAGAAGCCAGAGCACCTCGAAGTGTAACAAGGCAGAAACAGAACGGGTGTGCAGACACCACCACTGTTCCAAGGTGGTACTGGTAAGCAGATAAACCAGTAGGAAGGAACAGAAGCCGGGTTTTGGCTCTCAGCACCCTGTGGATAAACGAGTGATCAGGGTGAGCACATCTCTCATCTGGTGACAGACAATGTTCACACTCAGAGGAAGTCTGCGCTTGCAGAAAACAGCTTTGGAAGCCTGTTGAGACTAGCCTGGCCCATACACTGAACCTGAGCCCTGGACCAGTGGAGAAGGGGGAATTCTGTGACTGCCTGGGGTGGGGGCTGAACTGCTAAGAGATCCCAGGCTAAAGAACGCTAAGAAGACCGACAAGAAATCTTCAGGAGTCTGGTTGGCCAGTTTCTGCTAATCTACTGAGAGCCACTTAGAGCATGGTATGGATTTTCCAAATCTGCTCAGTAAAGCTTCTTAGACGGGAGTAATGACCGAAGCCTCATTCTCTTTCTCCCTGTTTAGACCACTGAAGCTGAGGAAAGGAGTGAAACAAACCCAGAGGGAAAACCGTTGGTAGTTCTCTAGAGAGGCTTGATGAGGATCACCTTTATAAAGATGGTAATATTGACTATGATAACAGTGGCTGCTAGTATTTATTGACACCTATTGTGTACTGGACACTACACCATGTATCTTGCATTATATTCTTGAATCCTCACCACGCATTTCTGAGAAGATACTACTGTCCTTAACATTTGTAATTGAGGAAACAAGTTTCAAGAGGTTAAGAAACAAGTTCCATAACCAGTCAGGAGGTCCAGGAGTGGTAATGGTTTGCCCATCTCTAGAATCCAAACTCAACCTCATCACCTCATTATTTTTATATTTAGGTAGAGACTGTTAGATGCATTTTTAAGGTGTTTTTTTTTTGTTTTTGTTTTTTGGTGTTTTGTGGGTTTGTTTTTGTTTTTGTTTTGCCATAGCACATGTGTGCTTGCTGGAGAGAGAGAGAGAGGCAAAGTGAGAAATCACCCCCTGGATGGATGGCCATGCTGCAGTCCCTCCTCCTTCATGCTCCTCTCAGGATTTGGGGCACACACGCACATAGGCCTGACATGATTTTCAGGATGCTGCGTTCAGGGCTTGAACCACTATCAGTCATGTGGGAATCCAGCTCCTTAGCTACTACACCACTTGCTGGCCCTGACGCATATTTTTTTTCCCTTCAGTTTCACTACTTTGACGTAGAGGTGTAAGTCCTATTGTGAACTTATCAGAGCAAATGTTGACTTTGAGAAGGATTCTGGTGAGATCAGGGGTAAAGCTCAGGAGTCCTGGAAAGGAGGAGAGGATAAGGAACTGACCTTCGTGGGGGCCTCCCGTGTGCTGGGCCCTGGTTTCCACACACTCTCACCACAGCCTGTTGCTGTCTCTACTGTGACAGGGTAGCAGGTCACCTCCCCATGCCCACTCTTATCTCCCTTCCTTGATAACAGAGTCCAGTTTATTTTTTTTCTGCACATAATAAAGACTGTGTTTAACAGCCCCTCAACTGCTGGTGGCTGCCATGAGCCATGAGGACAAGCCTGTACTCTGGGGCTGGTGGAACTGAGAGCACAGGAGCCTGGTACCTGATGTTTGGGAAGCCACTGTTCCTGGCTGTGGCTTTCCCTGCACTGCCCTGCACGAGAGACAGATTTCTTTCTGGCTTAAGCCACTGATAGCTGGGAATTTTCCTGTGCATGCATGAATACCTAAGCCTACCTACTCACCTTTTTTCTTTTTACGGAGGGAGAAACAGGCCTCAGCAGAGTCACTTCATCCAAATACAGGTATTAAGCATCAGAATTCAGTTTTGAATTGGCATGTCTGATCTCAGACTTCGCCTTTCTAGCACAATCTGTACTAGGAACATGGGCATGTTTTGTTTGTCTTCGCTGTAGGGCACATGTGCTCACCAGAGAGAGAAAGAGAGAGGGAAAGTGAAAAATCACTCTACAGGGGGAATGATCATGCCACAATCCCTTCTTTACCATTCTCCTCTTGGGATCTTGGGCATGGACACACACACACCTGGTATGTTCCTCAAGCCACTGGGTCCAGGACTCGAACCATGCAGTTGGTCATGTGAGATCCAGCTGCCTTAACCACCATGTCACCAGCTGTCCCAACATGCACATTTTTAGTGCTCTATAATTTGGAAATGTTTTTATACATATTATGCATTATATATAGTTTGGTGTCTTTTTTGGTTGCAAGTAACAGAAATAGAGTCTGAATAACTTACACTGAAGAGGAATCTATTAGGAGGATTTGAGGTGGTGTCTATCTCAGTCAGGGTTCAATCAGAGATGCAGACCCACTAGAGAAGCAGACCCCTTGAGATTTATCACAAGGATC